CGAACACTATGCTTGGGAACAGAAACGAAAAATTGCTGAAGCTGTCCTTATAAAAGACCATAATCCTGATCTTAATGAGCAAGGACAATCAGTTCCATTGAAATTATTGAACTGAACGATTACATGCTATCTCTAGAGAATATTGAATATTGTAATTTATTTAAATTTGTTAACTTAGTCAAGTCAATACACTGATGATGGACGATGGATGTCGTCAGAAATATGTGTATTAAGAAACTTCTTGTAATTCTCTTTGTCTATTTATAAAATCCATATTGCTCTTGAACTGCTTTCGCTACATTGCTCATATAGTAAATAGAGGATTACATGGGCGCGCGGACTGATACGGATTTTATATTCGAGTGTTGAAAAGATCTCTCACGAGTGAGCGTAGCGATTTTCAACACGATCATCATATAATTGCATTTGAAAGCAAATTATGCCGTAAATACATTTTTTCTTACTTCCACTATATAGAGAAACCTTGAATGCGTTATTTTCACTAGTGAAAATATCAACTTTACGAAACGGAGAAATATAGGTATTTCATAGATAATTATATAATAATCGTTCGCGCGCTTTTTCCCTGTTTCAAGATTCAGGGATGGCTGGCAGAGCTCTGTGAATGATCAAAGTCTTCCTTGTTGATAGTCGGAACGACCATGGAACGACGAAATGGCTAAGTTCCTTTGTAGCCGTCTCGTTTTTCCAATGAACCTCTTTATTATTAATTTGGTACCCTGCGAGCAGAGTGTATTTCCTTACCTCAATAAAAATTCGCGAAGGAAAATAACGAATATTTATTGAGGTAAGGAAATACACTCTGCTCGCAGGGTATTAATTTGGTTGACTTTTTCTCGGAAATTCAATTCAATTCGGTTAAGCATATGTATGGCTGTATTTAACTTTTCTAACCATAATTTAAATGTCCGAAATGATTTAATAATAGAATCGAAAGTATATGTATACTTTCATTGCATTTTTCTCCAGGGATTACTTCCTCTAAATAGTTGGCTCTAAAAATGTTCCTTCTTCCAGGTTCTTTTACACTGAATTCGCATGATAATGGAGATGASCTGTATATAATTCTTTTGAAAGACGTGGTTAGGCAAGGAAATCCTTTGCCCTATTGTAGTCTTTAATTCAACGGTAATTTTACTAATTATGTTTACATCTCTAACGATAAGTGCTTTGTGCTATTAATACTTATGAGCATGCGTAAACGCGTCTTCTTTAAACCCACAAGTATCATGCAGTAAGTAATTAATTAGAAAACAAAGCGTGTGTATTTTGTTGTCATATGTCGTTGGCAGTTTTTTTGTCTATGATTACACGGTTCAAATGATTAAGATTTCTATATACGAAATAATTTCTTAAGAAGGTAAACTTTAATTGATAGTTATTGAACTCGTTCGGTTGCCGATATGTGACAAGTGGCTTTGMGATCTCCAACTGAATCTCAGCAGACCCACATTTACAGCAATCTGCAGCAATAGAAATGTACAATTGYTCAGTTGAAAAAAGCGTTTTCTCTAACTGTATCAAGTCATTTAGCATGAGAGTACTTCGTCCTCGATGCATAGCAGATTTATATCATATATCATGGTGTCCCTGCCTGAGCTTATATTTTTCAGTTTAGTGTGTGGGTGTTTAGTGTCTTCCTGTCTCTTTTCTGTAATTCATGCTGGCCGAAAGTTTGATAAAAGAAAGTCAAWCAATCGATGTTGGCTATTTCAGTTTAGATCAGATATTTTCATCAGTAGCGTGTTCTTAAGWGTTTTTATCGGCAATTCATATGCGATAACCGGTAATCATTATACATCTCTACAATTACTTATTTATTTTTGATGAGTTAACGATTCAAGGCTGACAGCTCAATATTAACATAGTGAAGTGCTCATGAGAAACAGAACAGGCCAGTCTTGATAACATCAACTCACGCTAAACTTTGCGACCAAAATGAACAAACGCCTAGTATTTTTGTTCACAATTGTCATCTTAAAAGTACAAGCAACGTATTCTCACAATTCATGTGATTCGCGCTGTCCAGACACTAGTGGATATGTGCTAAACTGTGCTTTAAACAAACCTGGTTATTTACTTCATCAAAAACAAGCCGTATCGCAACTTCAGTGCTTCGACTATTGTCTGCGACACCCAAATTGTCACGTTTATAACTTCAAGAAAGGAAGCTCATCTTGCGAGTTGTTTGGCGGACTGTGGTCTTTTGACGACGGTAACCTACTCGTTGCGCAGCCGTCAACAGTGTTTTCCTGGATGGGAAGGGACCAATATACTTTGGTAAGAAAAACTATTTTTTCAGCTCAGGTGGAAAAGTAATAAAGTTTGAAGTATGAAGTAATTGTTTTGAAGATATGCACTTTTGAAACATCAGGATTTTGTCAACTGTAGTATTTGAATATCTCCATAAAATATACTTTAATAAGAAACGAAAATTTTGAATGTATTATAAGTTAAAAACTAGCGAAAAAAAGATATTCGTTGAATAAGAAAGCATTGTGACAAAAACAAAGTATTAAGAGCATATTTTCATTGCAAATTTCATATATACTAAGGTAAGGGACAGATGTCTTAAAACGAATGCTCTTTGTAAACTTAATTAAGTGTTTTTTTAAAATCTTTACTATAAGTACGTTTCTGTGCTATTACACAAAAACAGCTAAAGTACTTCCAGCAGAATGAATAAATAAACTTTACAGGAGGCAACAGGAATCGTTAGGAATATTACTTCAGAGATGTAGAAGTGATGATATTCTAGTTTGACGATATGTTCTCTCATTGATGAGCTTTGACATATTATCAGAGTTCTCTCTTGACTATTTTGGTTGTCATGTCAACTTACAAATCGTAAAGCTAGTGAGCCAGGATAAGTGCAATTGCTCTGTACAATAAGAAATTMGATGCRGCAATTTGCATTTCAAACTGCTACCGAAAAGCGCGGTTTAATGTAGGAATGATCGCTCGTTTTCTTGAACTGGTTTTCATTTGATAAYGTGGCGATCGGGGCGAAAAATGCTTACTCATTTAACCTCAGTTGCTCTGGTTGATGCTGAACTTGGTTAATTTAAGGAAGAAATATAGATAAGATATCTAATCCAGTTTGTAAGAAAGTTGAATGAAAGGGCCMTCTGCGAAYTGACTTGTAAGAGTTCAAAAGTCTAAACCTTTCAACAACTTAGGGACAGAAAAATGTAAAATATATTTTTCGAATTGAAACTTTGATAATGATCATCATATTTGAGATCTTAGTATCTATTATGCTAGAGCTTGCAAGCTTTATGTAAGAGTGATGACTACTAAACGTTTCAGCAAAACTGAAAAGTTTCACATGCACTGATCGATTGCGAATTTCCAGCGCGAATATACTGTGGGAGTCTCTTTGACTGTTTGTATACTACTGACAACCGAAACCCTGTTTGAGACATTTTGGTAATTTATGGGCTCTTTTATAAAAAAAACTCAGACTGTTATTATCACCATCTGTCGTTGAATGCTATTTGTAGGTATAACCTGATGAGAATAGTTAAATCTCTTCCATTTTCTCTCAAGTCTAGGGCAGCAGGGGTTAAAAATCACACCCTGGTATATGMGGCCTTGGCCCGTATRTCAAATTATTTGGTCTTTCAATAAATACATTGATATGATTGTTGATCGTTATCTCTGCTTATAGTGGACGATGCCAACTTGTAAGGAAAACACTTGTCAAGATATGCCATCATCTTCAATTGGTAAATAATTCATGATATATCGCTTGGCTATTTATGGCTGTTTGTGAACGTTCTATAAGGGACTGTGCAATAAGCAAAAAGTTAATTCTCCCCTCCCACCCCTCCCAAATAAACATTATTCCAATCCTCCTACCCTTCCCAACTAGCCATTCGAGAATTTTTGCAAGTGATTGAGTAAAACATAAACATGCACTCGAAATATTTATACTGACCATGGATTGAGCCCTAATTGATCGAGTGCACTGTTTCCAGAGAAAGTTAAAATATGAAAGGAAACCATAGTAACAACTAAGTTGAATCACAGGGAAGGTTCTGGTAATATTGCTACATATTTGACTGTAGGAGATATGCTGGCAGCGTACTAGAGTTATCAATATTGTCCGCAAAATATCCAAGCTATAATATCATCTTATGTTATACTTGTTTGTTGAGTTTCCCGATCAATTTAAAAGTTAATTGTTATCCGACATCTCCTTCACTCTTGATTCTCGCCCCTAGACCTAATAGTCATTGCGCACTAACGATTCACATCGCGAGATTTTGAGTTTTACTCAGTAAAAATCATCTCTTACATTATATCGAAATATTTTATACAACCTGTTGTCCTAAAATGCTTTTTGTGTTGATTTTGATAAACTGCCTTATTACACCCTCAAACTGAACATGCTAATTCCAAATCTTGATAGTATTTTACACCAACGAATGATGGCGTAGTAATCTCCATTTTAAACTTGTAAGAATCAGTTTCTTTGAGTTGTGCCTCTGTCATAACTCTGAATTGTAAATGAAATGGCTAGAACTTAAGACAATCCAAAATATCACAAACCTACTCAAAACAGTACCTCCTTCAGAGATGTTAAAACACTACTTCCCCTTCCTCGAAACCAAATCCATAATGAATTGTGAATTCTTGTCAGTGGTCTTTCGCTCGACAATATTTAGCCAGTCTTGAAACATTGTTCTTTTGAACAGGGTATTGCAAAAAACCTTTGGATATGGCATTCCTCATTGATACTTCCGTCTCAACTGTTGGAGCATTGAACCTGTCAAAGAACTTTATAGCTAAAGTATCAGAAAAGTTTGATCAAAGCCAAGAGTACGCCAAGATAGGCATTGTAGAATATAATACGAACGCCGTTTCAACTTTTACCTTCAACAACTTTACATCGTCAATCAAGTTTCAAAGGTTCTTGGATAGTGTTGCACTAGGACATGGTAAAACCAGATACGACAGGGCACTCTTCAAAGCAGAAAGCGAGCTATTCTCCAGTCAGGGGGGAGCAAGGCCCTTTGCACATAGGGTAGTAGTCCTGATAACCAATAGTGGTCTGCATGAGAATGCCGAAAATGTTCATTCRATCAATTCTTTGAAAGAGTCCTTTAAAAAGAAATGCGTTGCATTGTTCGCCGTAGGTATAAGTAGTCCGGGGAAAGAAGCGGCCGCAGAAGTCGTGGACCACAATACCAGCCGTTTGATACAAGAGGATTACTTTAATTAAAGATCTTGATGGTCATGCTGACAACTTTGCCAGCAAAATTTGTACAGGTAAATYAGCTTAGAATTTTACTATTTACTTGATAGTCATCGTCATTACAAATAATATCTATTCTTTTTGCAGCTCTTTCATGACTCGTCAAGGGTTTGCTTCCTTCATTGTAAAWAATAAATTAATCGCAGCACATTTCATGAATGTAGAAATTGTCTTKAACGGTCATAAAAAGTGGATTGTCTTGGTCAGAGGTTAGGCTAACTCAAAACACTCAACAAGAACATCACTCAGATTCAGGTTGATTGCCGGAAGTATCTGGTACTGATAGCTTGACAAAATCTTCACACTGACTGAACATCACGATAACTCGTCTCCTTATCCTTAGGAAGGGGGGGAATGAATAAATACTGACACTATACTGTATATTTACAATAATCAGATGCACAAATATTCTCGTCACAGTCTTTAAATCTCAGGAGTGTKTTTTTGATATTTATAAATAGTTTGTTGAATCAACGATGAATAATTTTAACACTTTATTCCAAGCTTTCGACCTAAGCGGTCATCTTAAGGGAACACAAAGACGTTACAACATGTTACAAAACCAAAAACGCATTTAAACTGAAGTTAAACTGTTTTGCGCGCGCAATAAAGACATTTCGCGAGCTGTTACAAATGAAATGCAAGAAAGATAAGAATAATAATTAATTAWTGAGCCAGCATAAATAGTTTCCAGGCAGTGTTCGACCTTTGTCCCTATTGAATAATATGTTGCTTCCCTTGGCAATTTGACAAGCCTGCTGCCACTTCCTTTGTTGTGACTTTTGTTCCGTTATTACTACTGAAGTAGCAGCCCWGTCGATCGAGTGGCCAGTATTGTTGGTATGCTCAGCAAGCGCAGACTTCTTCGCATTGAGGTGTCTTTCAGCCGAGATGTGCTCACTTCTCCTTGTCTTTAAAGAACGGCCCGTTTCACCAATGTACTTACATCGCATTCTCCACAAGGTATCGAATATACTGGGTTTTTTWAATATTTTGCTTGCTACAAGGTTTTTTTTTTTTTTGAAGTTTAAAGAGACTTGAGTATTTTTATGCAAACGCTTACTTCATATTCTTTTAGGGACAACTGAAATAAAAAGAAAGATAGAAAGAAAAGTGCGGTAGAAAAAACAAACCTCTATTCAAAAAAGGTGTGGCGAGTGGTTTAATTTTGTGGTTTGATTTTCATTGTCAATAGTAATACAGAAAATAATGAAAGTCTCTTGCGAATTTATTTATCTATTTAATTTTTTCAAGTCAATTAAAAAACATTCTAAAAATAGGAATCACGGATCCTTGCATATAAGCTTCCGTGCAGTATCCTTAAGTATCCTTCGCTCAATACGAAACCCAATCTCGTCACCAGGCCCATTTGCTTTAATTTGCTTCATAATTTTGATTTATTTGCAAATTTCCCAGTMACCGACAGTGCTACACGTATGGGGTGGATGTTCGCTAAATAAACTCTGGCTACTTATACAAGTTCTTACAGAGTGGATGGATTCTAAAATCATGTATGAGATCTAGGGGATATTGAAGGATAACTGACAATAATTTCAAAGAATGTTGTTGCTTTTTGAACGACAAAGCCTACCTCGGGAAAAACTGAATACAAAACATTGAACCCATCGTAACGATAAATCAGCTAGAAGCTAATATAGGGTGGGGTCGGGCTAGCTAACGTAAAATTGTATGTGTTTGCAGTGCGAAATGGCAATATTGAGGATGCTTTCCATTTAGGCAGAACTGGCCGGCCAGTCCACTCTATTTAGAGGTATATAATACTTTTTGTCAACATTTTTCAGTCATTTCGAGGTTTTCTGTAGAATAATGGATAGAAYTTGAAAATYTGAATTTCCTAACTAAATGGGAATGATATATAATGACATTTTCTCTGGGTCTGGCCAGCCAGTTCTGACAAATGGAAAGTGCACTGAGATGAACTTTGCGACGCGAGATAACTGCCACGGTTCATGATATGTACTGGAAACAGTATTTTTAGCATTGGATCGTTTCACTACTTTGTCATGTATCAGGAGCTCATTACTAGGAGCCTTCCTCTTCCCATGGGCTTGTGGAACGGCATTTACCCCTCTTGGTGCTATTTTTAGATTTTCCCGYCATTCCCCGCGCRCTTATTGAGATGCCGAGTTGTGATCGAAGAGCCGCCGGCCGCCGCTATCAGGTGTTTTTAGATTGAATTTTAAGCTGTACAAGTGAAGACATTCGCTTTTGCAAAAACTATTTTGTAACAAAGGTTCAATGGCACCATTAACTATTATATTTAAATGTCTAAAGATAGTGAAAAGGTATAAAAAATAAGCGAAAAAGYTCATACATGAAAGAATCGACATTTCTGGTTTCTTTTACCGACGAATCTGATAGAAAAGCATGACAGTGAACAAAAAATAATCTATTCTTATAATGAGTTCTTCATCTAAAAAATGTGACAGATCACAAATGTAAAAATTGGCATTTAATAAATTTGTTTGTGACAGTTTTGTACAATATTTTACATCTAAACAAAAACTCCGTCACAAATGAAGTTACCACGGAATTTCGGCGCCTTTTTTCTTGAACAGCCGATAAACAGAATTTATAATGAGCAATTCTAAAAATAGCACCAAGAGGGGTAAATACCATTCCAAGAGCTTATGAAGAAGAGGAAGGCTCCTAGTAATGGGCTCCTGCATGTATCAAATATTTGAAAATGAAAARGGTCTGGGTACGAGAATGACTTTGAGAACACTGGAAAAAATCGCGCACTTTAAAGGTTGTAAATATCATGTAAATATTATGTAAGTGTCCAAAATGATGTAAATTTGATGTAAATTTACGTATAGTTTAAAACACGAGAGAGAGTGTTTTATCAGGTATAAAGATTCGAGGCGAAGACGAGAATCTTTATACCTGATAAAACACGATCTCGAGTGTTTTAAACGGCTTCAAGAACTCCAACACTAGTTTGAACCTCAAATCCGTTAAAATTCTTGGAGAAATTGCCGTAAAAACAAATTTCGAGATAAATGGGGCAAACTGATCATGCGCGAATCACTGTACAAAGCATTATTTTCATCCCACATTGAATACGCATAAAGTAAAATAGAAGGGATGTTGGCTGTTGACTGAAATCRGCTGACATCCTGCTTTGGTCAATGATCAGATATACAACCTGAGACCTTTGCTAGGGTCATGGACCTTTATATCTGATAAAGGTCACCCTTATTAGTATTCTTTATATAAAGAAYACTAATAAGAACAAGCAGAAGTACATACATCTCTCCAATAATATCGACACCATCAGATGTCCCGATAATCTATTTTTAGACAACCAATCACAACGCGCGCACATATTACACGACACCTGATTGGTCCTCGTTGAGCTACTTTTAGATCCTAAAATACTTTACTACAATTCTATGTATAGTCTAAGGACTTTTTAATTCTATTAKAACAGATTTCTTATTAAAACGAGAACAATTCTCGACACAAAAATCACATTTTTGCAGACATTTCTTCGCACTCCTTTTGTCTTCATCTTTTTCATCTTTGTCTGAACTTTTCCCTTGTTTTCGCAGACCATAATGCTCTTGAACTTCCTTCGCTACATTGCTCATATAGTAAAGTATGTTTTCTATCGAATTCAGAAATTGTTGTTCAGCAAAAGCTGTAAAATTCTTGTAATGCAAACTTCACTTCGTTTCGCCTCCATCGACTACATTTTCCTTTTCATTGTCCGCTCTTGAAGTAGCTCAACGAGGACCAATCAGGTGCCGTGTAATGTGTGCGCGCGTTGTGATTGGTTGTCTTAAAATAGGTTATCGGGACATCTGATGGTGTCGATATTATTGGGGAGACTTCTGGTTATGTACTTCTGGAACAAGGGGCCGTTTGGCGTGAGCATGCGCCAGTCTGTTGAAAATTCATTGAAATTCATTAGTGATTCACTTCAAGTGAGAAATTACAACGACACGAAGGACAATTTCCAAAAATGTTTTTGGCTGTTTTTGACCTTGAAATGTTCTGTCATGACTCAAGAACACTCATAAATAGTGTAACCTACAACGAGGAAAAACACTGGCGTTATTGGACTGATTGGGACCGTTTAAAATCTTATTTAAGAAATGTTGATATTAATGACTTTGTGTTTACAATATGGAGGCTGCAGTGGTTTATATACGCAACTAGCTATTCCAGTTTTTGCTGAGTGCTGGTCAAGATTCAACGCAGGTCATGAAGTAAWTGGTAAATGTACACATGTAGTAATATAATTAGGCATCGTTTAGTAACATCGACCTCGAAATGTTCGAAAGACAGTTTCTTGAAGTGTACAATATTTACGCTTAAATATTATTAACTGTTACATGAAATACTACTTTCCTTTTATATACCACCAGGACTCAATAGAATAAGGCTACCAATATCAAGACTTATGCTTTGCGAATGGTTTGATAATGTTTTCTTGTCTATGAAAAATGTGGAACGGTGTTAATTTAGCATTCTTTTGGCTGAAGAGTTGAGCTTGTTTGAATCAAGTTATCATAAATATCTATGTGTAGTTCTATAGCTGTATCATTATAAGTTATGAAATAAACTATTGCAGTGYAATCGATTCACTTCTTAGGAATTTATTATTGCTAAAGGTGTGCACAAATAATTCACTACATTTTAACGGTACAAAGTGGCTTCGTGTTATAAACYTGGCCCGAGACTCACAGTAATTTATATAAAGTTTGAAAGATATTCGTGTGCATTGTAAATATATCTACTTGGTTTTGTTTGGAAAAATGTGGAAGATAAGTAAAAACATCAATTATGTTCAGATTCGAAGCTTCCGCAGCTACTATAATGTTATTCTACCCGTATTCTAGATGTCTAGAGCCCATGGTCGTTATAACGCAGCGGTTGCGCATATGCTCATGCATAACGGCCTCTTGTTACTAATAAGGAGTGTTTTATCAGATATAAATGTCCATGCATGTGACCAAATAGTCTGATTCTATTGGCCTAATAACTCATTAATTATGTATGAGTTTTTGAAATCAAATTTAAGAATCAAATTTATATCATTTTRGACACCTACATAATATTTACATCAAATTTACAACCTTTTAATGTGAACTATTTTTTCCAGTGGAAGGCCAAACGACGCATAAGAGACTTGCGAAGAGTCTATGACAAACTATCGAAGTATACGTCAGTATAAAAGCAGATGTATGGAATATATTACATTCAGCTGTAATGAGATGGTGTTTGACGATAACTTTCCCAATAAATAAGGTGCACTGTTTTCGATTAAACTTTTGCTTTAGAATCAGTCTGGAGCTAAATCAAAATGTATAATTTGTATCCATTGTCGTCCAGCGTTTGTGAAATCACGTATGATGCTAGTTAAAGTTGTTGTGAAATTATTGAAGAGTAAGAAATTTAAAACTTTATGTAAATACAGTTATACGATGATTTCCACTATCCGCCACATACACGTGACCTCGACGATTAACTGCAACTGCACGCGGCGTATCCAAGCAACCAAAACCAGAACCCAGTCTTCCTAATGAGGCGATATACTCGCCTTCCATCGATATCACTTGAACACGATGATTCATTGTATCAGCTACTATAATATTTCCTTTGTTGTCTATGGCTAGACCACTTGGATACAGGAACTGTGCCTTTCCAATACCCTCCCCACCAATGGTATTGAAGGATTTCCCATGGTGATGAAAGATTTTAAGCTGATGATTTTCATGTTCGGAAACTATGATGTCACCATGTTTTGAAACCGCAACACCGCTGGGACTGCTCAATAATGCGGGCCCCCCTATGAAACCTACAAACTGACCGTCAATGCGAAACTTTTGAATTCTATCGTTGGTAATGTCAGCAGCAAGAATATGACCGTCTTTATCAACTGCTAAAGCAGAAATATTTGGTCTTTTGTCTTTCTTATTGTAAACTGGAAGGAAATTGTGAGAAAGCATGCCATCTGAAGTGAAAACTTTGATAATGTGAGAGTCTGTTGTGATAATGTTTCCTTTTTTGTTCGCTGCAAGTGATGTTGGACGAGCGCTGTTCATTGTTAATGCTTCTYTTATCTCGCACCCGACTTGGTCCATTATACGCACCCTACAATTTCCCTTGTCTGCAACAAAGATGACGTCATCGCGTGTTACTGTTACACCCGAAGGACAATCAAATTGAAGAATATCCGTCTTGCTTCCATAGCAACCCAAATAGTACGAATTTTCCTCCGAGACGTCTTGATAGTTTATTACCTAAATGAAACAAAATAGTTGTAGAGCGTTGTCGAAAGTGAACAACAACAACAACAATACCTATATCACTAATACTATCGTCACTATAGCTGTACTGGCCGTCTTAATCGCAATCACCAATACCTATATCACTA